ATCAATCAATAATACAATTCTCTTTTTCTCTTTATACATTAAATTTCTACAGTTTTCATATTTTAAAATCATGTTTTGAAAGAAAGAAGGAAAGGTTTTCAAAAGATTTTAAAAGAACTAGGTTCAAGAAATTTGATCTTTCAAGTTTAGGATTTGATTATGTTTTGGTGTTTTGATCTGTAAAGCAATCATATTTCTATGTTTTCTATTAAATTTATGTGTTTTTAAGTCAAGTTACATGAGCCCTAGCCTAAGAGAATGGAAGAAACAAGCTTCAAAGTCGCAGAATTTTCGAACAAGTCTTTCTTTCCCAAAACCGCACGTGCGGCAGGAAGCCCCGCACGTGCAGCCTGCTTTCCCAAAACAAAGCTCTGAGACTGCATAAAAGGCACATGCGCCCGCACGTGCCCTGACCATCCCGTACGTGCGGAAATGCCCTGCTTTGCATGCATTTTTGTTTTGCAACCCTCTTTCACCTAGGACACTTCTTACATCCATTTGACAATTAGTTAGGGTTTGATTTGGTTGAAAGCAATGCTAAAACACTTGAAAGAATTTAAGGAAACACGTTTAACGGTTTGTTATGTTTGAACATGTAAGTCGTAAGCTAGATTAAGTACTTCAATGTCTTAACTAACACTTGACTTTAAGGGTTTAAATACTAAACAACTTGAATATGAACTAGGAAGCATTAAGCCACTTAGAACACTTTAATTAATCTAGAGCCTTAGAAGCTAACTAAGTAATTAGAAATCTTAATCAAGTTTGGAAAGAAGTTAGAAACACTTAACTAAGTAATTAGACAACCGATTTGTTATGTGTACACATATGAGTTAGGGATTTCAATGCTTTGCTCTTATTTTGTAGGTAAAGCTCTGAAGAAGTTAGACCCTCGTTCTTAGAGCCATTTGTGAGTAGTATAGTAAAGTTTTATTTCTTAAAATTATGATTCAAAATGCAAACGTATGGTACTTTTATGAAAACTAAGATATTATTTTGCTATGAATGAACATCATATACTCTTGTAGCATGTATTAAGATCACTTCTTGGAACAAGTTCATTATTAGAAATCAAGCCAATGAGCTCTAGCTAACCGAGCTCTTTGCCACCTGTTGTGACAAGTTATTCGCAAAGTCTTGGAATGTTCATCGCTATGTATATGCATGCAATTTAAGCTTTGTTTATCATGTACAAATTATATTATGTTTGAAATGAGCTTGTGCTTAATTTTAATAAAGTTTATCGATATTCATTCATCTATCACTATTCACTGGGCAATGGCTCACCCCTCTGCCTTATATATATGTAGGTAGCGAAGAGTTCAAGTTTGAGGAGAAGATAATTAGAAGCCGGTCTTGTGTGGTTGTACTGATTTGCAGAATTAAGACATGTATTGTAATATGTTTATTATTTATGTCTTGTAATAATGTAATGTAATGGCTATAAAAAGAATTAATGCTTTCATTTCATATAGTTATGCACTGCTCTAAATGAATGTTGTAAATGGACTCAATACAACTGACAATGGCTTCCGCATGCTATAAAAGAAATTTTGCCCCAGTTATATTAAGAGTCCGTCTTGCTTTTGTTTTGTTAGGCCTTCGGTAGTTGAGGACTATTGGCCGATCACTACACCATCCTGTTTGGGGCGGGTTGGGGTTGTGACACCAAAATCCCCTATTACTTTCATAGAAGGTCTGAAATCATATCTTAGCCAAAATCTTTTGGCACCTCTGGCATTATGCTACTTGAGTCTCCAGCAATGTGCATTCGTTCCCACAGACAACAGGTCTCAGGAGTGAGGAAGTGTAGGTACCCGCAATCCATTCCAACCCGTCAAGGAGTGAAAGGACTATTGTGGATCCAAACCAAGGATAACTGTTTGACAACACCCTATCCTACTCTTCATTCTTCTTACGGAGGTAACACGCAACCCAAGTTTTTTAATTTCTAAGGATTTGGACATCATGCTTGGAATTGCCCTTCTCCTAAGATCTAAGAAGCATGGACATACAACACAGACATGCCGACACTCCAATTTTTAAAAAACACAGGGCACGACACGTGAAATGTAATATAACACTTATTTTATAAATTTATATTATTTTTTTATTTTATTATTGCATCCTAAGTTATTTAGTTTAAACTTATAATTAGTTTCATGCATGTCTAATCGGCGGACATGTGTTTAAGCAATAGACACAAGTGTCCAAAGAGTGTTCGGATCCATAAAAAAAAATTAAAATAGGACACATTTTGACGAGTATAGGACACGTGTCACGAAATGTCCAACGAGTGTCGGTGTCTGACATGGACACTATACGGATACGCCAACTTCTTAGAAGTGTCTCTGCTTTTTAGCCTAAGATTAATGTGCCTGCCTATTAAGTCAGTCGTTGTAGAGGATGATAACATCCTTGAACAAGTAACAAAATCTGAGTACTTGAAGATTGATATGCAAGTTGCTGATTTTGTCGACCCTGAGTCCGATGATGACCTCCTTGATGATGTGATTGGCGTTTTTGGACTTTTATCGGATTTTGTTTAGCTTTTAAACATGACCCAATATATATACCTAAGAAGCACGAACACTTCTAAGAAGGTGACGTATCCGTGTCATGTCCATATCGGACACCAACACTCTTTGGACACTTCCCCAACACGTGTCCGACACTCTTCAAAACGTGTCCTATTTTTTAATATTTTTTAAAGATCCGGACACTCTTTGGACACTTAAACATACATGTCTATCGATTAGACACATGAAACTAATTATAAGTTTGAACAAAACAACTTAAGATATAATAAAACAAAAATCATATAAATTTATAGGAATTAGTGTCATATTGCATTTTTTATTATCTTTGAATATATATTCATATATATAACATATAATAAATATATAAAATTATATATTTCATGCGTCCTCCCCCCCCCGGTGTTATGTCCTATATTTTTTAAAATTTAGCCTGTCGGCATGTCCATATCGTGTCGTGTCGTGTGTCCATACTTATATACAAATTTTATACCTAAGTTGATATGGAGATTTTTTTTCTCTATTTGAATGTATTTAATTTTCTCTACTTTACTAAAATTACTAAAATTAATTATGGCAACAGGTTCAAAAAGAGTTTCGATCGAGGTAGACTAACAATGGGGTGCGATGGGCTGTGTAGAGCCAGAGGTTTGAGAGGGGGAGGACCAACGATCGACGATAGAGGCTTCAACAATGACTTGTGATGGCTGCAATTACAAGTTCAGACCAACCTTGCTCTAATACCATGTGAGATTGGAGAGAGAACAAAAATTAAACTTCCATTACATAACAAGACTAGTTAACTCTAATCAAATAGGAAACCCTAATGACTAATGAATGACAAAACTACTCTTCCGTAAAATCTCCAGCTTAGTTTAACTAATTTTGCAATCTCCAACATGAAATATGCTTCCCATGAATCTTGGCACAAAGCACTCTGATTTAGCCACTTGTCCTCTCTTTTGCAACTATTGAACTGATTATTGACCAAGAATAATGGTATTAGCTTTTTGGAGTAGCTGATTAAATTACTTTTTCCATCATGGTTTATCTTATCACTTCTCATGCTATGTCATCCTAATCATTTTATAATTAAAGTTGGTTGATCAACTTTACAAAGCTTCTCTGTGTCACATTTTTGTTGTACTTTAAGTTCTGACTCAACCAATTTAGTCCCTTCTTGAGGATAACTCGAATCTTCTCTCATTCTAATCAGTTGAATTGTCTTTCCACTCGTTGAAACTTAACCTACCAACTTATCTGGTTATTTGTAGGAACTTGGCCGAATTCATTTGGCACATGCTTTCGGTTTAACCTTACTCCATGTTAAATAATAATTTAACCACAAAAAAAAAAAAAGCAAAGCCAAATAATCTCCTCTTTCTCACTCATCAAAATGTACTCCCAACCAAATGTTGTGTAAACTACTAATGCAGAGCAAACACACAAACTTTTTTCATTTTATAAGAATAAATCAAAAGCATATCAATGAGGATTCAAAAAAAAAAAAAAAAAATTCAACAAAACCCATATTCAGAGTATTAAGACAAATAAATTAATTAAGAAAAATGTAAATGGCAGTGGATAGTCATTAGTCTCAACATATGTGTAAAAATATGTATAAAGTGTATGGAAAATGTACAAATATATGCACAAGTGCATGGAAATATATTTTTTTTAAAAAAGTGCATTGGGATTTTAACTATTTTCCAACCTTAAAAACAACTCAGTTAGCATAACCCCTTAATTAATAGTAAATCATATTAAAGATACTACGTGACGGCTGACACTGATTCTCCGTAGCTGGCAGTCATTTAGTCCCTTGTGAATTTCACCGATTTGATCGTGATACAAATCTGTAATCATACCTAGGGCTACTATAACATCAATACAATTGCGAGTGGCATTCGAAATTACAACCTTTACAAATCAACTAATAACAAATATGAGAATAATTACATCAAACTCAACAATTATAGTCTAATAACATTAATACATAATTATTACAAGCCTAACAACCACCACAACAAAGAGACCAAAATGAAAGGAAACAAACAACTCAATATAGAGGAAGAAATAATCAATAGCTGCAATTAGAAGGATTGAGTCCTGATTCAATCAATTAATTAGACAATTCTGATGTCGTGGAAATAATAGACCTTAATACATAACTAATCGAAGATTGGCAAGATTTGGTTTCGAGTTTTTTTTGATTTTTTCTACTAAAAGACAAATTTTTTGCAAAACAAAAAAAACAAATTCAAACAAAATATCACATCCAACTACATAATCATTTCACTTTTTCCCTCACAAATATGACATCCAACCACAAAAAAAAAAAAAAACCCAAATCTTTCCAAAAGCCAAAAAAATTTTATCTAATAATATCCGACAACTAAAAAAATCCTTACATAAAAACCCAATTTCCAAACACCCAAATAATAAGAATAATTTTAGACTCACCGGAAGGTAACCTTGAATGGTGAGGTCCTTGCAAGGAGGAGTCTCGTCGTGAACGGGACCGAAATTACCGGCGAGGTAGTGGTGAGGCTGTGAAGTATCGTACATTAGCTTCACAATCAGCTTCTCCAACCAGTCGATCACTGTGGAAGTGAGTCCTTTGTTTGGCTTGGGCTTCACCACCACCACTCCTCCCTCCATCCTCTCCTCCTCCACTTCCTCCTTCTTCCCCATTTCTTTCTGCCTCTCTATTTCTCTCCTCTCTCCCTCTCTATGTGTATATATGCGCTACCTGTTCGTCTGTAATAGGGTATCTAAATGTAAAAATGTATGGACAGATATGAGTTGATCCGTCTAGTTTTTTTTTGTCGTGTAGTGCGGACAAGCCGGAGTAGTCCAGTAAGTGTGCATTATCTTTTGTTTATTGGTGGCACAGCCTGCCACGTATTTCTCTTTTTTATCAAAATGTTAGCTAACTATATGGTTTATTAAAGGAGGTTGTCGGAGATCCTATCCTTGCACGCCATGCTTGCACGCGTCTTTACAACGGCTGAGATAAGTCGTTGCACATTTAACGATTGAGATTAAAAAAATAAAAATAAAAATAAAAATTTTGATCCTACTTGTTCAAAACAAAATGTAGCGTTGGTTTCAGATTTTCATAAGGAAACACTCACGAATTCAACACACACTCAGTGGTTCTTGTCCGAACCCACTCTAGACGGCGACCCAATACCGGCGATAACCCAGTCTCCACACCGTTGCAAGGACCGACGACGTCACAGGTCAGTTCCCCTTTGTCTCTTTAAATCAGAGATTTGCCAAATGCAGAAATTAATGTATATAAAGATATATATATACATTATCAGTTCAAATATCTTCAAAATCTTATCTGTATTTGAAGATGTTAATCAGTTTCAGTATTTGAAGATATATATATACATTATCTGTATTTGAAGATTTTAATTAGTTTCAAAATCTATTTAATCAGTTTCAGTTTGTATTTTGTGTTTAGTTGCAGAATGGGGTTTTGCAAAATTATGTGTTTTTCCATTTTGTATTTGAAGATATATATATGTATATATATATATACATTACTTTTAATGGACCAATGTGTTAATTTATTTTGTGTTAAACCACAGATTTTGAAGATTACTCTATTTACTTTAAAAATCCACATATTTTGAAATCACAGATTGTACTTTTAATTCAACATCTATGTTAATGAAATAGAGTATTTAATCAAAATTTTATTTAATCAATAGGGTATTTAATTATGTATTTAATCAAAATGCTGTTGATATTTTTTTTAAAAAAAACTTTTTAAAACCACCCCCACATGATTCATGAAATTGATTTTTTAATAATTTTTGTAACAAGATCTTCAAATTAAAAGTTAATATGTTGAATTAAAAGTAAGTAACACAGATTTTGAAGATTACTCTATGTAATCAGTTTCACTTTATTTAATCAGTTTCAGTATTTAATTAGAGGTTTGCCAAATAATTTTTGTAACATAATTTATTTAATCAGTCATGTGAACAGATAAGGTTTTATTGGAATGTGATGAATTTTTTAGAAATCAATTTAGAAATCAATTTGTCTCTGTCTCTGTTTAGAAATCAATTTAGTTCTTTGATGATATTTAGTTTAGAATGTGATGATATTTAGAAATCAATTCAGTCTTAGTTTAGAAGTCAATTAAAGATATTTAGTTCTCATTTCTTATTTCTTTATCCAAGTGTGACAGTGGGTTCTTTGATGATAGTGTAGATATTGTGTTTATTGATGTAGCTAAGATTTTATTTATGTAGCTAAGATTTTATTTATATGGGTTTTCAGTTGCATTTTCATATGGATATGGAACCTGAGAATGATTGTGCTTGGAAATCAAAACAGGGAATGACATTCCATTCTGAACAGTGTGTGTATGATTTTTATAATACATATGGAGGCAGAACGGGGTTTAGCATAAGAAGGAATTTTTGTAGGAAGAACAAGGTCACTAACCAACTTATTTGTAGACTTTTGGTTTACAACAAGGAGAGATTTCGGAAGGGTGACAAACGAGACCCATTGTCAAAAAACCCTAGAGCCGAAACTACGACCGGTTGTAAGGCTCGACTTTATGTCAAATTAGATGAGGGTACTGGGAAATATGTTGTGACTGATTTCAAAAAAAACACAACCATGATCTTGTATCACCCGAGTGTACCCACATGTTACCGTCAAAAAGAAAGATATCGACTACACAAGCAATTCAGTTAGATTTGGCGACACAATCTGGTCTTCGTTTAGGCCAGTCTTTTGAACTCATGGGTAGGGAAGCTGGTGGGAGGCAATGTCTTAGGTTTACAAAATTAGATTCTAAAAATTATTTGAGAACCAAAGACAACAAAGTTTAGCACATGGAGAAATAGGCAATGTATTGCAATACTTTAAAGAAAAATCTTTGCAGAATCCTTCCTTCTTTTATGCTTTCCAGTTAGATAATGAAGAGCAAATAACGAATATGTTTTAGGCCGATGCACAAATGATCATGGATTATGCCCAATTTGGTGATGTTGTCACTTTTGATACTACTTACAAGTTAAACAAAGAACATAGACCCTTCGCGTCTTTTGTGGGGTTCAAGCATCATAGGGAAACAGTTATATTTGGTGCAGCATTGTTGTATGATGAGACCGCCGAATCGTTTGTATGGTTGTTTCAAAATTTTCTAGAGGCTATGTCAGGAAAGGCACCAAAAACTTTGTTCACTGATCAAGATGCTGCAATGGCCAAAGCCATACCCATTGTTATGCCTGACACAACTCACCGATTGTGTACTTGGCATTTGATGCAAAATGCATTAAAACATGTTAACTGTTTGTTCCAAGATAAGGGGGTGAAGGGTGTACGAAATAAATTCTTCTTTGACATTGAAGATGCAAATCAATGGAAGTTAGAATGGGTGGAAATGCTTGATAAATATGATGCGCATGAAAACCATTGGTTGAAATTGACTTTTACAGGTAAAGAAAAATGGGGCTGGCCTTACGTTAGATCAGCATGGGCTGCGGGAATGAGTACCACACAACTCAGTGAATCTTTTAATGCTTTTTTGAAGGATTAAATTCGTTCTGATTTTAACTTGAATGAATTCTTCATGCATTTCAAAAGGGTACTTTAGGAGAAACGATACAAGGAGTTAGAAACAGGATATGCTTTGTGCCAAAGGTTGCCAAAGGTGAAAGCGATGATAAGAATGTTAATTCAAATGGGTAATGTCTACTCAAAAAAGATTTTTGAGGAATTTCAAAATAAGTACTTTCGATCTATTGAATCGGACATAGAAGCAGTTGAATATGGCGAGGCTAGTACCATTTACACAGTTGTTGATGTTGGTAACAAACATGCAAGGAAACTGAAGATGGAGAGGGATGGCTCTTTGGGTTGTACTTGTACAAAGTTTGAAAGGGAAGGAATCTTGTGTTGTCACTCATTGAAGGTTATTAGAGACATATTGAAGATGAAAGAGGTTCCTCCACAATACATTCTGAAGAGGTGGACCAAACAAGCAAGAGCCGAAACTGTGAAGGACATTAAGGGGAATGACATTCAAGTAGATGTGAAATTCCAACAAGCCTCGCGGTATAAGACATTGATGACCGCATTTAGAGCACTAGCAAGTAGAGCTGCTGAAACTGAAAAAACTTATGATTTTTGTATTGTACATCTTGCTACATTAGGTGCAAATGTTGAAGGCAAGTTAAGTGCTCATTTTGGTGTTGGAAATGAAGTAATTAATGATGATGACACCGAAAGCGTTGAAGTGGATTGCGAAGATGTGAATCATGTTGTGCAACCAAAAGGATTGAAGAAAAAGATGGCGACTAGTAAGGGCAAAAGGAGGTTCAAAGGTGGGTTCGAAGCGGCATTGGTAGCGAACTCCAAAAAAAAATCCCGTGCTAACAGTTTAGCTTCATCACAATCTATTGCAAGTCCAACAGTTTCACCTTTTCCATTATCTGTTGGAGGAGATATCTATGTTCGGCAACATGTTCCTCCTCTTCAACCTCTTCCTCCCATTCATCCTCTTCCTCCATCTTTGGCCATGGGTGGTAATTATATTCCTCCACCATTGATGTATCCCACATATCATGTAAGTGTTAGTACAATTTAGGTGTTCATTTGTTTGTGGATATAATATGTGACTCAAATCATGATATATGACATTGTTGTAGGCGAACAATTTGCGGGAGATGTATGTACTGCAAAATTCTTTGCCAAATCCAATGCCTCAGCAGTATTCTTCTCAACCAACATTCCAGTCGCTACTTCAAGGTTCATGTGGATATGACATTGGGTTTCGATATTCTCAAGAATCAAACAGTCCAATGTGTAGTCAGGATCGTCCTCTCTGTATTTTTATTTTGTAGTTGATGAAAATTGTAGCTATTTCATTTTATAAATTTGTATGTCAAGTATGTATGTAGTTGCTGAAAATTTTGTAAAATTCTATGTTTTTCCATTTTAGGCTATGGACAAGCTGAAAGACAAGCAACATGATCCTGAAATTCACCTACAAAGTGAAGTCATAGCAGCTCAATGTGAAGCAGAAAGACAAGCAAACTGTGTTTTCAAATTGTGAAGTAATGTGTTAATGGCTTGTATGTTAATGGCTTATATATGTGGACCAATGTGTTAATTTTGATGGACCAATGTGAGCATAACATGTTGAATCTTGCCAAATGTTAATGGGTTGTATGCTAATGATGTTAATTGACAGTTGATGTTAATGGCTTTTTCATTTGTTATAAAATTTATTCCAGGTTTTTCATTTTTGTTCTGTGCTGTGCTGCTGCCCAAGTTTTTCATTTTTTTAATTATGATTTCTGATGTCCATGTTTGTATTGGTTCTGGTATGCTGGTTTTGGATTGGTGTAAATGGTATGTTAATGATGAATGCACCGAAGTTAATAAAACATTATGGTATGCTGGTTTGTATTGGTTCTGATATATTGGTCCTGGATTGATGGAAATGGTATGCTAATGATAGAACAACTGGAGCTAACTACCACATGAACATGATCTGCCATATATTGCTGCTGCCATACTTAGCATTACAAACATGATCTGCTTCATTATTCATTCCAAAATTCCATCATTCATTCATTCATTCCAAAATTCCAAAATTCCATCATTCATTCCAAAGTTAAGGCCACAATTCATTCCGAAATTCCAAAATTCCATCATTCAGGGAAATAGATAATACATAATTCATTCCATAGTTACATCATAAGGTACAACCCAAAATGCTACAAATTTCCATTCAGTTTCCCAAAATACAATAAAGTACACAAGTTACATCATAAGGTGCAAAATGGTGGAAAATACAATGAAGTACACCATCGCTTTGATATTCCTTTCCATCCTTTGAAGCCTTCGACCATAGTCCATTTCCATGTAATCAAGCCTCGTCCTTACATCGTTAAAGTCTTCTACTGTTATACCATCACAAGCTGTATAGTTCGAACGTGTTCTAGATGTAATGTCTTCATCATCTTCATCCACGAACTTGAAGTAATTGCAATGGGAAGTGGGAGTGTTACTCTGCAATGCATGAGTATAAGTTAGTCGAATAAGACAAATATTAATGTGACTACTAAAGGAAGAAAATAGCTAGAATTACAAACTTACATATCTTGATGGGCAAACAAAGAACAAACGCCCTTCATTTCCATTCTCATTGGTTTTTACAATACGTATGGCAGCGGTTCTTCCACAATAGCACAGCCTCGATTGTAATCTTATGTTGCTAATGTTAGAAGAAGAAGCCATTTTTTAAATCTGCATACATGAGAAGAAGAAGAAGCCATGGTTTTAAAGCCATTTCTTATTATCTCATCTCCCCACTCTATATTGCAATTGTATTGTTGTAATTTTCTGCTTCTTATGTAATACTTGGCTTAATTTTCGTTGTTTTTTAAGTTTGGCATTGGAGGGTCTCTTCACTTAAATCACTTTTGTGGTTGATACATTCATTTACTATCCTCATTGTATATGCACGACAATCTTTTTCAGTATTTGTGATCTTGTTAACTAATTCAAAAATAGTAGAGGGACAGAGTGTGGAACAATTGCTAAGTTCTTGAACAACCTTAGTATAAGGATCTTCTACTCAAACAAAATTCTGGAATATAAGAAAAGAACTTAGTATAATTACCTCTATGGAATTCTGGAATCAAACAGAATTCTGGAATAAATTTCTATGTTACAGTTCAATGTGAGCCTGAATGCATGCACAGAACACTGAATGCAGTTGCTACATTAGAACACTGAATGCATAAGTTATTGTGATAAGTGGAATTTTTTTAGGTTGCCTATTATGCCAATCAGCAAAATCACACAAGATAAAGAGGATGGATCATAAAATTTAATGTCCTCCCTCCCTTTTCATGTCTTCCAAACAAGTAGTGTTTTTGAAAATTTAGAATACAAATATAAAAATGTTTCCTAAAAAGTAGTGTTTTTGTGGACAAATTGCATCCATTCATTTTTTCCATTTTTGAGAACAGAAAACTAAAATGAAGTCCAACACCCTCTATTTCCAAATTGCTAGCTCTTTCTCATGGCCAAAATAGAACAAAAAAATTAAAATGCAGTGAAGGTTGTTGATTGAATGGCATTATGCTTGAACTTTGCACATTCAATCAACAACAATATATCAGAACCAATACTGATTTTGAAAGCCCTAAATTTAGGGATTTCACATTACGGATTTCAGCAGAACCAACAATATATCAGAACCTGAGATTTCACATTTAGGGATTTCACATTAGGGATTTCACAACAATATATCAGAACCAATTCTGATTTTGAAAGCCCTAAATTTCACATTAGGGATTTCACATTCAGTCAACAACAATATATTAGAACCAATACTGAAATTATCAACAACAATATGCACAGTGAAAGCCCTAATTTTTGTCACAGTGAAATCCCTAATTTTGAAATTTCAATCTCATCACACAACCCTAAGGAGATAATTTCAGAGTTTCATTCATAGGAAAAACAGGTACTGTGCCTCTAATTTCACAGTGCAGGAGTTTCGAAATTAGTCCAAAACAAAAACAGAGTTTTCAAATTGGTCCAAAACAGAGTTTTGATCTAATTCACAGTGCAGGAGTTTCGAATACAAACCTGGGGAACAAATTTCTTCGCTTAGCCAATGCCATCTGGGGGACTGGTCGTTGCCGGTGCCGTCTAGGGGACTACTCGCCAGGGAGGGTCGGTTTGGTGGAGGAGGACAACTTCGTGCGAGGCTGAGTGAAATATAGCTGAGTGATATAACTAGCAACGGGGCGGGATTTTGAGTGAAATTTCAAATTTTTTTTTTTTAATCTCAGTCGTTGGATGTGCAACGGCTGATCTCAGCCGTTGCAAGGACGCACGCAAGTATACTCTTGCAAGGAGAGGATCTGCACTCAGGTTGTCAGGCTTGAACCGGAGAGCTGAGAGATAAAGTTTGTTAACTCGTTTTTTAATGGGAAAATTATTATGTAGTCCTATGTAGGGGATTTATTTTCCTTTTAATCTCAATATATTTTTAATAGATTAATAGGTCCACAGTTTTTTAAGTTTTATATCCAGAGGTCCCGTTTTTTATTTTCGCATTTTGTAAATGACTGTATTACCTTTTATTTTGAGATCTATATATACGTGAAAAATCAAATTTTTGCTTCGTTCAAAAAAGAAATCAAATCTTCGTCTCTGCGATCTCGATTTCTCTTCGTTATGGCGATCTTATTGTGTTGTGTGGTCGATCTCATTGTGCTGTGAAGTGGATCTGGTTGTGCGATCTGAATCTCTGTGTACAGGCAATCTCTGCGTACGTTCTCTCTCTCTCTCTCTCTCTCTCTTCGTGTATCTGATTTGTATCTGTCAATACATATATGTATGTGTATGTATGTATCTGTCGATACATACATATACATATATATATATATCTCTGTGTGTGTATATGGTTTGTATCTGTCGATACATATATGTATGTATATATAGATAAGCAAATTTGTGTGATATCTGGTTTGTGTTTGGTAATGTTATTTTAGTTCTTTGTTTTGTGATAAATTTGTTTGTTTGATATTTATTTTATTTGATTTTTGTATGTGATATAGTGTAATGATTTTGATTTTGTTGATTTTGTTTGTTGTATAGTGTAATGTGTTTTGAAGTTGTAGTTTTGAATTGTGAATTCTGGTGTTTTGATATTGATATGTTGTAAGTGTATAATTTTGCAGTTTGGAATTGTGAATTGTGCAGTGTTGGTACTAATATGTTGTAACTGTATAATTTTACAGTTTGGAATTTGTGAACAATTGTTTGTTGGTTTGTGATTTTGTAGTATGGAGGGGTATTTCATGTTAATGTGCAAATACAGTAATTGTTGTGCTGCTATTAAGATTAGTGAGGGATGTAGTTATGATGAAATTGTTGAGAAAATATGTGCGAAGTTCAAGGAGTTGAGTGTTGGTAACTTTTGTTTGTTTTTCTCTATTGCTGGATATTCTAATTGTATTGTTGAATATGCTGTCAATGGTAGGTGGTAGTGGTTGTCATGCTGTTGATGTTGTTGTGGGTGATAAGAGAATTGTGGAGGTTGATGATGGTAATTCTTGTATGATGGATTCTGTAATTGTTGAGAGTTCTTTAGTTAACGATTATGATAATTTTGGTGGTTTGTTGCCTAGTTTTTATCTAGAACCAGAGAGAATTTTGTTGTCTGCTAGTTAGAAGGGGATTATACATAGTGTTGGTCAAAAATTTGAAGGTGGAGTGTCGGCGTTCCGCATTGCATTGGCTAAGTATATAGTTGAGTGTGGTTTTGCAATGAATTATTTGAAGAACGATGCAACAAGAGTAACTGTTGAATGTATGATGAAGTCGTCTACGGGTTGAAAATGGTTTGTGCATTGAAGGGTGTTGATGAATTTCGGTATTTTTTTTATAATGAAGTTGGATAATGTACATACTTGTGGAGTTGTTGCTCGTAGATCTTGTAGCAAAATGGTTGGTTCTAGACTTGTGCCTGATATTGTGCAAAATGATATTAGTGATAATCCGTTGACTCGTCCTATTGAAGTTAAAAAAAAGTTGAAGAAGCAATATGGTATAGATGTTTCTTATCGGGTTGCATGGTTAGGAGTTGATAAGGCAAGAGGTGAGTTATTTGGTGATTTTGCAACTTCTTTTGACCAACTTTGATGGTACCTTGAGACGGCTATGAGAACGAATCCGGGAAGTGTGTTTGAATTAGATGTGGATGAAAGTAGTGGGTGTTTTCGGAGGTTGTTTGTGGCATTTCATGGATGTTTGTATGGCTTTCAATTTTGTCGTTCGTTGTTGTTTGTTGATGGTACATTCTTGAAGGGGCGTTACAAGGGGCATTTGCTTGCAACAACATCAAAGGATGGTAATCAAGGTATGTATTTATTTGCAGTTAGGCCTCGTTTGGGAACATGCTAATTTAGTAACTTTTTGGCTAAAATATGAGCTAAAAAAAACTAGTATGTTTTGGATGACTTTTTGGCTTTTTACGAAAAGATGTGCAAAAAGTAGAGAGAAAAGAGAATCTTTGACTTTTTGGTATGTGTTGTTGGCTTTTTGGCTAATTTAGTAACTTTTTGGCTTTTTGGCTAAAAAGGAGGGTTTCCAAACGAGGCCTTAGTATAGGTTTGATTTGTCAGTGTGTTATTGTATTGTGAGTCTGCTAATTTTTGCAGTTTCATGTTATTTTGTTTGCAGGTCTATTTCCTTTGGCTTTTGCGTTTGTTGACGCTGAAAATCAAGATAATTGAATGTGGTTCTTAAGTCATTTGTTAAAGGGTGTTGGTTCAGGCGGGAGATTGATCTTTGTGTCGGACCGTCAACATGGATTGCTAGACGCTCTTTCAATGGTTTTTCCCAATGTACATCATGCATATTGCTTGAATCATTTGAAGAGAAATTTGATTGACAAATTGGTGGGACTTCGTACTGACTATAAGCTGAGTTTGATGAAAATATTAGTTAAATGTGCTTATGTGCCAACGGTTGCTTCTTTTCAACATTATATAGAGAAATTGAGGCGTATTGTTGGGAATGGTAGAGTTGATAGTATGTTGGATGGTTTGCAAAATGATAAGTGGGTGAATACATTTTTTAGAGGGAACATAATATGGTAAGATGTCATCTAATGCTGCCGAGTCTTACAATAATTGGATTGGTGGGGCCCGTGAGTTGCCTATTACTTGTATGGTTGATATGATTAGAGTTCAAATCATGACTCAATTGTCGAATAGAAGAGCTAAATCTAAAAGATGGACTACGAAATTGTGTCTTGTTATGGAAAAGAAGTTGGTGGACTCTTTGGAGCTAGCTAAGTCTTGGGATGTGATTGTTACTAGTGATACTGTGCTTGAGTTTCATTCTTCTATTTCCTTTTATGTTGATATTGGTAGACAGACTTGTTCTTGTCATGAATGACAATTGAATTGTTTTCCTTGTTGTCATGTTGTGCATGCTTTGCGTAGTAGTAGTAGAGATGTGTATGATGTCATTGATCCCTTTTTTCATGTAGATTGTTTTAGAGAATCATACAAGGAATCTGTTTATCCAGTGCCTTCAAGTGAGAGATTTGACTTTGATGGTGCCAGTAGTTCGATTATCAAACCTCCTATAACGAAGAAGCAGCCCGGGCGGAACAAGAAGAAGATGATACCTTCTAGGGGTGAGAATGTGAAGCAAATCAAGTGTAGGAGGTGCTTGAAATATGGGAATCACAATAAGAAGACGTGTAAGGCTGCTATTTGAGGCCACAGTCTATTCTTTTGGTTTTATATTTAAATTTGAGGAATTATGATAATAAAAAATGTAATACTTGGTATTATGGAAGTAATGAATAAAGTTGATTGAATTGTTTTTTATTTTTTGATGTGCTCTTTAGTTATTGAAGTTGTTTTGTAACAGTTTTGTTTTGTTTTTTATTGTTTTTTTTTTTTTTGTGGGTTTGGTTGGTTTTATTTTTATGGAATGCAGAGAAGGATGTTGAAAATTTCTTATTGAAACTGTATAATATTGAAATGTAATTTTACTACATGATTCATTTATTTCATATTTTATAGCGAGAAAATCGTAAAATTTTGCAGTTTTATTTTTAATTTTGAAATGTAGTTCATCTTTTGTTGAGTCATGAAATTGGATGCATAATTGTGTAGCATAAATTTTGTTTGAGTAATGAAACTGTATAATTTTACAGTTTTAAGAATTATAAGAAACAACCTAATAAAGCTGCATAATTTTGCAGTTTTAAGAATTATTAGAAACAACATTTACTGTATGAAACTACATAATTTTGCAGTTTGAAGAATTATTAGAAACAACATTTACTATATGAAAATATATGCAACCACAAACAAGTACACAAACAATCAGAAGTACAAGCACAAGAAGAAGAGCAACAACAACATCAATGACAACAATCATTTTTATCATAATAACCAGAAGAAGATCATTTCCAAAAGTATATAAAGTACTTGTCACATGTTTAAAAAAAAAAAAAAGTACAAAGATATGTTCACTTGAATATTTGTATTGTCAAGAAGTTTGTTCATTGTTTCTATGGTTTGGTATGTTTTGTCAACATTTGGTAGTGCTCGAGTTTCCAAGATTGGATTTCATCATTGAGGAATTGACTGACGATTTCTGCTCGAAATTTGACCCACTCAGTTGGTCGAAGTGATCTCTGCACAGGCTGCCAGTTGACATATTGGTTGATAATATTACAGACGGCGATTGTACAATCATTCCTGCAAAGTTTTAGATGAAGTTAATTAGTTAGGTAAAACTGTAAAATTTAGCATATTGGAAGATTAGATTATTGATTTTGTATCTTACGAGTGTGGGGTTTGTTGTGGGCATTCCTCAATTGATGCAATTACTGTCTCGCACTCTTGATATGATAACATGTTTCCTTGATTGCTAAGTAATGCTTTATTCCATCTGAGTTGATGTTGTTGCTACAAAATAGTTAGTGGGTGTTTTTGTTAGTTATAGTGATGAGTTGAGATGTTTTTAAAGGAATGGAACTAAGTAGGAAATTTTATTTAACTTACAATTTCCTTTACAATTTCAAAGTGCTTGTTGTGGCAATCTTTTGCTGGTCTCAAAGAGTCATAATGTCTCCATATCCCATCAGCATTGTCAAAGACCACAATTGTCCAATGGTTGTCGTGGTTGATTGGGAAATGGATATATCTGTTTTTCATTACTTCTGGAAAATGGCTGTCCATCATTTT